ATAACCAAAAAAAAAAAAAAATAAAATGCCATTAACTTTCTGGAACAACTAAGGCTTACCTTTATTTTTTTTTGTCTCTTGTTCAACCACCCACAAGGGGGCGCCAGGTTGTCAACCCAAAAAACAAGTCCTAAATTGCGGGCGGACATTATTTCTCAAGAGGTAATTATTTGTTAATTGAATCAGATTTACGTCGTTGCATCAGATTTCTAAGGACGGACCTTTCAGTTGGAATCAAAATGCTCTCCCTCACGCTGCATCTCTTCCAGTTGGAATTATTTGCTCTTCGTAAGCGGGCGGACATTTTTGTCATCGTAAGAGAAGATTCATGGCTGATTCTTCGACATCAACCACGACAAGCGGGGCCGAAGACAGTTGTAATTTTGGTGGTAGTGCTCGCGGCGAGAGTGGTGCTTGTGTGAATGCAGTGTTCTCCAGTGGTGTCGGTGATTCATTTGTTGCCAATTCTATTGGTTCTTCCACTGCTAGTGTAGCTTTGAGTGATTCAGACTGTCTTGCACTTGGCGGTTTAACCAATGAATAATGGTCTCAATTTGTAGCTTTGGTAATTCCGCTACACAAAATAATTCCCTTTCTAGTACGCGTCGTTTGTTTGATTGGATGTACGACTGTGGGGCCACCCATCATATGACAGGGTTACTGAAGCTTCTTCTTGATGTTCGGGATATTCTCGCTCGTCCTGTTCAATTGCATAATGGTTCCTTGACTATAGCTAGCAAGGCTGAGACTCTTTATTTGGGATCACAAATCACTCTTTATGATGTTTTATATGTTCCCATCTTTCGGTGTAGCCTGATTTCATTATATCAATTTGATATAGGATATTATACCCGCAGAGGTAAACTGGTTTGCTGAACCGGTCGAAGGGATTGTACGGTGAGGAAAGCCAAACCAATCTAATGTTATCGAGCAAGGTGATGACGGTCGAACGTCTTGAAGATAAGGCCCGGAAGGCTGGGCAAACTCTAGGACGAGCAGCGTACCACGAACAGCTGAAAGATCGACTAGTCGAGCAGTCGAATAGTCGAGCAGCCGATCAGTCTAGTCGATCTCAATAGATCGACCACTTAATGGACTGTCAGTATTCTGGAGATTGGCATAGTCACAGGCGCGTGTAAGAGCCTCTAACAGAATTTCAGGGGAATATTCAGAGGAATAATTATCCCATGTGCAGAGGACACGTGGCGAGAATGTATTGGATGATAGCGACAACCACCTCTGACAACTCTTAACGCCAACTCTATCATGCGCGCGGCATGTCAGAGTATGGACGGGTAGCTGGGGCAGCTAGCTCAGTAAATCCGGGCACTCTCTAGGTCAGGTATTTCACCTCTATATAAACAGGGGTGAGCCTTTCTTCCTTAACACGATTTTTCCATTATTCTACTCAAGTATACACATACTTACTTAAGCATCGGAGGCTCTTCACCGGAAAAACCCCCCGGTGTGAGAGTTGTTTGCAGGTTCCTGGGGTTCTACCGGCGAGGACAAGAAGCGATCTACTCCAAAACGGGCCAGGACGTTCACACTTTCATTATTGGCTCCGTCTGTGGGACTTCGTTCAAAAAGCGGTGTTTGGAGTTGTTGAGCTCGTTAGCTATGGCGGACGGAATTCCCAGAACTAACTTACAGTCGTCGTTCGATGAGGCTTGGACGATGACTAGGCCGTTGGGGCATGGCCCTTCTCCGGGTTTCTCTGGCCCTTCGCAGACGCCAGTCACTCCTACGCCTCTTCTTCAAGGTATAGAAGCACCGACGGCAGTTCCCAGAGGAGATGCGGGCTCCAGTCACGCCCAAGAAGCTCGTGCAGCAGCTGCGGCGGTGATGCCACCGCCTCCTCAACGAAATCCAGCAGGAGCACAACCAGGAGGACTGGCAGTGCAAGGAGGAGTACCACCGCAGGCGTATGTATAGGTTCCCGGTCAAAAGATGGTGCGATGACTAGGGAAGAGATGCAGAGAATAGTGGCGGCCACGGCGGCGCAGGCGGTTCAGCAAGTCATGAACCACATGTCTTATGCCACGACCATCGACCATGGTGGTGGAAGGCCAGGATAAAGATGTGTCTAGCTATAGAGATGGAGGAGATGTGAGGGATCGTGCAATGGAGAGGATGACAGAGCAGTTGCGCCAGTTGCAGGACAAGGTCGAAGGGAGACCGGATATGAGGGCTCGAGGACATCCTTTCTCGAGGGAGATTTTGACTGCACCTTTGCCGAACAATTTTCGGGAGACCAATTTAGTGTTCGATGGGTTATCTAACCTGTCGAGGCACGTGAGATCTTTTGAAAATATAGCGGTGTTGCATGGATATTCTGATTCTGTGTGTTGCAGGGCTTTCTTGTCGACCTTAGGGAGAGGAGCACTCGATTGGTTTCACCAGCTGCCCCCTGGGTCGATTAGGGACTTTGAGGATTGTTCAGTAAGCTCACCAATTAGTACTCGAGCGAAGTAGCTCAGGAGAAGACGTATTTAACCCTGATGGCGATGGAGCAGGGGGAGAAAGAGTCGATGAGGAAGTATGTTGCTCGATATAATCAAACATGTTTGGAGGTGCATTCGACGTCCGATGAGGTGAAGGTGGGTGGATTGATAAAGAGTCTTCGAGCAAGGCCTGTCGAACGTCGTTGGCAAAAACCCCTGCTCAATCGTATGAGGATGTGATGAAAAGGTGTAAGAAGTATATCAACTTGGAGGAGATGGTGGCGGAGTACGCCAAGCTAGAAGGAGTTACTCGACCACAACCGAAGAAGGGGAAGAGCCCGTCAAGAGGGAGGTCACCCAGAAGGAGTTCGCCCAGGCGGGGTGGACTGAAGGGAGTATCGCCCAAGGGTGGGGGGAAAGATTCGAAGCAAGCGAAGCGAGACGATCGGTGGCAGGAGAGGCCACTGCTGTTCGAGAGGCAGAGGTATCACAATTTCACGACCTTGAGGAAAGATATGGGGGAGGTGCTCGAGGCGATGGAGCAGAAAATGGAGAGTGGGGATGTGACATGGCCGAAGACGAGATTTACGGGCTCGACTCAACCTAGGTTGAATATTTATTGTCGATTTCACAGGGATTACGATCATACCACGGAGAGTTGTAGGCATTTGAAGTATGAGTTCGAGCGATTAATTTGAGCGGGGCATTTGAAGGAGTTTGTTTATCATGATAGGGCGAAGGGAAAAGGAAAGAGGAGGTGTTGAGAAGATTCAGAGAAGAGGAGTGATCGAGATGAGGAGGAGGAGGATGATGAGTCGCGAGGAGGGAGAGATGGTGGAGATGGTCGAGGGAAGAAGCAGAGGAGGGGAGATGGAGAGAAATGAGGACAAGGAGGTGAGGCACCACTGAAGAGGGAAACGATCTATATGATTTCAGGAGGACCGACGGATGGTGACTCGAATAATGCTAGGAACGAGCATGCTCGAGCGGTGAAGAGGAAGAGGGAGGAGGTTGGAATTACCGCTCGTATGCCGGAGATAAGTTTTAAGGCGGAAGATGCGGAGGGAGTGGTGTTGCCGCATAATGATGCTTTGGTGATTACTACAGAGGTGGCAGGTTTTGATGTGAAGGGGGTGTTTATTGATACCGAGGGTTCGGTGGATGGGATGTTCTATGATTGTTTTGG